CTCTCTGTCTCTAATGAATAAATAAATAAATAAAAAATCTTTAAAAAAAAAAAAAAAAAAGAGAAGTGGGAATGGGGTGACAGAGGCGTACAAATGAGGCCCCAGGTATGTGCAAGGCGTTATTGTAAAAATAAGCAATTAAGATGGCAATATTAACTTTGTAAAGCCTGGATGGTGGACTTGTGTGACTGTTTTTCTGAATGCTTGAAAAAGCTTATCAGTTTTTTAAAACAATATATATACTGGCAAACTTAAGAACTAGGAATCCTACAGATACGTGAGAACTACATTAATCTACTAAAAAGAAGAAAACCTAAAATGAAAGTCAGCTGACTAATGAATGAGAGCAACAGACTGCATATTTTTTATCCAAGGAGAGCAAGGATTTGCTATTCATTGACTCTGCCAGGCGCACCCTCAGAAACAGGCTTCACACTCACTTGTAACTCCATGAATTAGGTATTTTCTCCATTTACAGATGCTGAAGCTGGCTCAGAAATTAACGTGGCCAGTGACACAATGGATGAAGCAGAAAGTTAGGATTCAGAGTCAGGTTCAAAGGCTAGAATCAAGACTCAAGCTGTCTCGTCATGCTGCCCGACCCGATAAACTAGCAGACGCAATTCTGGAGGAGTAACAAGCCATACAGGTGATAGGCTCTATGACTCTATGGTATCTTGCTACACTCTTTCCTCTTTAAAATACTAACCAGAAGGTTCTTGAACAGGAGCTTTCTGTCCAAAATGCTTCTCCTGGTGCCCAGGTTGTCATAGTATCTTCATTATTAACCAGTGACGTGACCTTAGATTTAAAAGCGGTCACGAAATTTAACCGCCCCCCCTGCCCTCTTCACTGATAGGATAGCAGAGGTGAGGACCGAAGGTCAGCCAAGTGCTTAAAAGCAGAACTTGGTCACACTATATAGCATGATAGCATTTGTCAGTTATAATTGTCTACATGTCACTAATTGTCACTACCAGCCACAATTCCTGCCCCAGAATGGAAACCCAGGGAGAGCAGAGACTTTATCCTACTGATCACCGGAGCCTCAGCACCTAGCACAGTGCCTGGCATACATACAACAGGCATTAAATATTTGTTCAAAACCTCATACGAGGTGGCAATTAAAAATAAGGCAAGAGGGGCGCATGGGTGGCTCAGTCGGTTAAGCGTCTGCCTTCGGCTCAGGTCATGATCCCAGGGTCCTGGGATCGAGCCCCGCATCGGGCTCCCGGCTCGGTGGGGACCCTGCTTCTCCTTCTCCCTCTGCCTGCCTCTCTGCCTATTTGTTCTCTCTCTGTCAAATAAATAAATAAAATCTTTAAAAAAAATAAATAAAAATAAGGCAAGAAACAAACGAGAGAATTTTCCCAACACATAAAGTGTATAAAGCAAGATTCTTCCATATGATCCAAACTTTATAAAATTATATATACTAGAGTCCGCAGAGTTGCTCAGGAGCCTCTTAGCTGTAGGTAAATAGGCACCTGCAGCTTCTCACTCTGGAACAGCCGAAAGAGTGAGGCCATGTGAGAAGCAGCTCACTTACAAACTGTCACCAGTCATTTGGAGCACCTGCCCAATATGACACCTGCGGGTGCAAATTTGAAATATGTCATGAGTTCTCCAGGGCCAGGCTCCTCTCAGCCACCGCCGCCGTAAGCTCTCTTGCATTCGTGCTTCAAATGCTCTAGGGGATGACCAGCCACCCATTACTTCAAAATACATCTAGGATACCTCCTCAAAGTAAATGTCACCAAGACACATGGCATGTACCATACATCACACCATCCCAAATAAAATCTCCAAATACGTTCACCCAGGCATTTTCATTTGATGTGGTTAAACAAAATCGGTTATTCACAGAAAATTCTGAAGGATGGATTTTGGATAACCAAAATATTATCTCCTATTGTAGGACTATGTGATATAATGCAATTCATTTTTTGCATGCTGTTATCTAAATGTTTCTACAATTAACATATTATACTAATTCTGTAACAGTTACTAAATGCTTACTGAATTAACAAAGCTGAAGGTCACATGTCCAGTACACTGGACACTATTCCAAAACTGTATTGATGGGGCGCCTGGGTGGCTCAGTTGGTTGAGCATCCAACTCTTGATTTCGGCTCAGGTCATGATCTCAAGGGTTGTGAAACTGAACCCCGCATTGGGCCCTGCGCTCAGTGGAGTCTGCTGGAGATTCTCTCTCCCTCTGCCCCTCCTGTTGTTTGCATTCTGTCTCTCTAAAATAAATAAATCTTAAAAAAACAAGATTATATTGAAAATTGCTTTTGAAAAAGGGATCACCTCTATTATCCAGCAACCAAAGTGGCCCAATGCTCATGTGCCAGAGTACAAAAAGATACAGTCCCCGCTTTTGATGGAATGTAATACGGGAGGCAAGGTGTGTACATACAAAAATGTTAAAATGCCAGGCAGTATATGCTAAAGGTATATAAACAAGAAGTGCTTCATGCAAGTTTTGAGGAAGCATATACTGTTGTAAGCTGGAGTAAGGTTGGAAGGCTTCATGGCCAAGAGGATCTTGAACAGGACCTTTCAGAAGGATTCAAATTAAAACTGCAAGAGCAATTCAGAAAAGGGAAAAGCCTGAGCAGACTGTGAAATCTGGTAGTCAGTGTGTGTAACTGAGCAACAGTAAAGCAAACAGCCCGGCACTCACTCAGAGTACAGAATCCTAATGTTTTTCTCTGGGAAATGGTAAAAAGTACAGCGTTGGGGATGGGGGGGTATGGAGGGTGTGGGGAGAAGGGAATGGGGCAACGAGTAGAGGCTCAGGGGCAAACACATTTGGGAAAACTAGGTTTAACAAAGTATCAGGTATGTCTCTACTGCTGGAGTTCTCCAAGCTCTAGCACAGATAACGTGCACTGAGCCTCCTCCTCCTGGGGAAGAAATCATCTTATTTGACCACCCAATCCCTTTTCACTGAAGAGATGCATACACAGCAAAACAACTTAGGACACACCTCTTTAACAGATAACAAAAGCAAAACAATAAAGGGCTTGAATGCCAAAGGCAAACTTTGAGGTCTGGCCTCCGTCCAATCAGGCCTGGATTTTCCCAAGAGGAACTGCTGATGTACCCTTAAGTTTCTACACAGAAGAACTCAAACCAGGTATTGCTGCCCCCACATAAGCATCTACTTGTCAGAATCCCCAGTGGTCAGCCCCAGCCCCATTCTTCTAAGACCACCTGGACAGTCGGCAGTGGCTTCCTGGTGATCTGCAGGCCTTGGACACATGCCTTCTCGTAAAGTGATTCAGGGACTTCTATGAGCAAAGGGGAGCACTGGACAATCCCAAGCACAGAATGAGAAAAAGAGCAAGCGTTTTTAAAGTCTTGTGTGGTATAGAGCAGCTTTCCCAAATTAGAGGTGGCAAGGCATGTGTTATAAAATCAGTTCAGGGGGCCATAACCAGCATTTCTTGAAAGAAAGAAAGGAAATAATAAAAAGAAAGAATGAAAAGAAAGGCAAGGCAAGGGGCGCCTGGGTGGCTCAGTTGTTAGGTGTCTGCCTTCGGCTCAGGTCGTGATCCCGAGGTCCTGGGATCGAGCCCCGCACTGGGCTCCCTGCTCAGCGGGAAGCCTGCTTCTCCCTCTCCCACTCCCCCCCGCTTGTGTTCCTTCTCTCGCTTTGTCTCTGTCAATTAAATAAATCTTTAAAAAAAAAAAAAAAAAGGAAAGAAAAAGAAAAAAAAAACAGATGCATCACATGTACAAAGGGCAAGGAATACTTTATGAAATTTGTTTCTATTACACATACTGGATTGACCTCTGTTCAAATGTATTTCCTACTTGGATCCCAGCTAAAAGGTCTGAAAGTCACTGTTCCAGAAGATGCAGAACTCCGGGCGGAGGCTGGAGGCTGCTGTACTCCCCAGCTGGGTGAGGGGCAGTGGGAGAGGAGCAGCAGAAAGAAGAATCATCAGAAGAGACACTTAAAAACAGTGAAGAGAATATGGAGAAAGGAAATCAAGGAGAACACTAAGGTATTACCCCTGGGTCATTTGGGGGAAAGGTGGCTATAATCCCAAACAGGCAAACTGTGAACGAGAGCGGGTTAACAGGTCCACAAGGGGGGTAGGGAGACACATTCAGGCTGAGACACATCTGGTTTCAAGAGACAGAGGACATCCAGATGTAAGTACACAAATAGCTCTCCCACACCACGAACTCAAAACAGGTCCCCAACATTGCTTTAATTTTAGTCACCTTTTACAATACTGTATTAATTCCCTTTCAGTTAAACAATGTTTTAAATTTATGCTTTGTCCTCAACCAAGTGGTTGCGACTCTGAAAAGCACATAATCGCACTGAAGAACCAATGCCATCAGTCTCTGGCTATGACATTATTTACCATCCCAAGGGCTTCACTTCGATTTAGCGTTTGATGGATAAGCACAGACGGGTGTGTCATTTGGCTGTGTGTGCGTGTACAATGGCCCGCATCAGCGCAGGATGTGTGAGCCACATGAGCCCTACCGCACCAGCACCGGGACAGTCCTGCCAAAGGGCGCCCGTCAGCTGCCACACTGTCTGTGCCCACCCTGTGACGCTACACAGTCAGCTCAAGGGCCCTGCTGATCCAGCAAGAGGGCATGAGGGAAATGGCAGAACTCCAACAGATCACTTTAGCCGGGACTGAATCCCCAACATACACCAGAATAGACATAATTAAACGAGGCAGTGTGGACTTAAAGGTAAAATGTCATCCCCACCAGGCCCTTGATGAAGTGAGTTTTGCTTTACAGAAGCCTTTTTATGAAGTAAATTACATTAATTACCAACATTTAAAAACATCCAACATTTAAGGGTTCTGAATCTCTGATTTATTAGACAGCATGGAAATAACAGCTTTAAATTATTTTACAAAAAGAGCTCTAGCTGCTCATAAACAGCAACTGGGCTTTCTGGGGGTAAAAACAATTCTTCGGACTACCACACAAGGACACAAAGACTCCTCATCCTATACAGTCAGCATGAAAGGGCACACAGACAAGTTTTTTGTTCAGACAGAAAACAGAGAAATCCACACACTAAATAAGGTGTCCACAATGACTATAACGCATCCCTTAGGGGATAAGTATGTATTTGTAGGAAGCAAAACAAAGCTTGCCATAGAGAAACCACTTTCACGAGATGATTAGGTGGACCTGCAATGAAGAAAATACATTTCAAAAGATGGGTTCAGACTTACACTAAGTTTTCACTGAAACACTCAGAAAATAAAAGACCTTTCTCTGTATCAAAAGAATTTCTTAAAAAACATGTCATGGATAAATTTCAGTAAAGGTCCAAGGCCCATTCAAAACATACATTTGCAAATAATATAAATAAACACCAAAGTCTGACCACAGAAACACTATGTGGAACTAGCTGTAACAGGCCAAGCGAAGTTCGTGTTCTGTTTCAGGGCATTACATTAAAGTGAATCTCATTCTCACTATAATTTTTTTCTTTTTAACCTTAATCACCAGCGGCTGGGCAACTGAAATGGACATGAGAACTATATAAATGTCACAGAAATATGTAAACCTTGTTAATGTTTCCAAAAATTCATTTAGAGATAGAAACAGGTCCAAATAGATGCCTGTCTAAATGTACTGCAATTACGTTACAATTATTTTTCCAAATACACAGATATGCTCTGTCTTTTCTCAGCTCATTACTGACTCAAACAATTTGCCCTTCTGGGATCAATTGTTTGCTAATAAATAATTGTTTACAGTCACAAAATGAAGTTAGGAGGTTTTCTTATTAGTTTTCCTTCTGCACCCTAATAAGATTGAAAACTAGCTGATTCCCAGGAGTCTAACCTTAACCTTGCTTTGTTGAACAGCCCAGGAAACGATGAACCATCTGCTTCGGAAAATAATGGACGGCCAAGAGGAAATACTGTTTAATTGTAGATTAACCTCCTCATGAGGCAGTCTGAAGCAGCTTTCGAATTAGCAAGTACAACCAGCAAAAGAAACAAATGGCTCAAGAGCCTTTTCCTCCACCATTTAAGGTCCAGAAAGAATGCAAAAGGATTTTTATTACCTATATTTATTTACAAACATGTATTTCCACAGTGGAAACAAAAATTATCAAGGTCAAAACTGATTCTCAAAAGTGTAATCACTGCCCTCCAATTTTGTTTGCCCAGAATACCCTTAATGCAACAAACCATCAACCGTCTCATGCACTTAAAAGTGTTCGTTTAAAAAAAAAAAATCAATAAAAACCTCTTTTCCATTATTTTCAGGTTCTTATAATATTAAAATTAATATATTTCCCTGGTTTCTTTGTTAATAGTAATAAATCCACCATTGGGGAGTACGAATTGTTTTATTATCATCAACATGGCACTTAAGTAAATGAAATCTTGTCAAGTACATGGTGACCTACAAGTTCAAAAGAAAAAAGAACAGCATGAGATCAAAATGGCCGGCCAGGACAAGAAACACAAAAGTGAGAGATTAAATGCAAACACAGCCCTTTATCCAACAGGCTTCACATGCTAAGTCTTTGCTAAAGTCAAACCTGTAAAAGTATGCATGATATTGAATATTTAATACTCTGCCCCTTTTCAGGGACTCAACCACTTTAGCAAGGGTGCTAAACCATTTTAACTCAGACAAGTAGAAGAATCCTGAAAACATTCAGTCATTCCATATTTATTGAGGCCTGGATAGAGAGGGACAGAGAACAGACAAAGACCCCTGAGGTAAGTATTTTATGGTTTAACAAGAGCCTAAGTATTGGTTTTCCCTCAGGCCTGGTGCAGGTAATTAAGTAAAGAGCTTTGCCCTGGTAGTACCAAAAAATGTAAATCGTTCCCCTCTGTTAACAGTTACAACCAAGAGCCAAAGACAGCTATGAAAATTTCAAAACTACGGAAATTTGCTATTCCAGGCAAGGCCATATTACTCTGGGTTTCCAGTAAGACCTGAAGGTCATTCACTTTGTGTAAATATTAAAGAAACAACCTCTGTGGAGAGGAAAGATTTTTGGCAGTTCAAATTCTTAAATATCTTAAACAGAATTTGCTAAAATAAATTATTCTTGAATTCCTCAACTTAATTTTGAAGCAATGAGCTAGTAATAACTCCAGAGATTCAAATAATAGTGCCTATTCAAGAAGAATGAGAGTTTGACATTCTTCTCTACCAAACAACTAGGCACAATTTTATCCATCAGACGTCTATCAACCTACGGATATTGAAAGCTTGGGGAGAACAAGATAAAATCAACTCCAACCCTACAGTCAGCTGTAATATCGAGCAGGCATCAACAATGCTATTCATGAATTTAGAAAAATTAATAAATCCTGGGTTGAATGCAAGAAAAGGCTCAAATACAGGTGAAGCATACTCACTTGGGTTTTGTTTCTGCATCTGTCACTTGGCGAATGAAGATACCATCTTCAGGATGTTCTGTGTCATCCATTTCATACATATACGACGATGCT